GATTTACCTTCTCGGTTTTATTGTGTGCTGCGAGCAGACGGGCTGGACTCGCCTGTTGTCTGTTCTTCCCTTGGCACTTTTCGCCGGGTCGTGGGCCCTCAGCTCGGGACCTCCGTGTCCCACGGTTTCCCCTCTGCCTCCGAGGCCCGTGTCTACTTCGCTGGGGCCTCCTTGTCTTACCCGTCCTCTTTGACCAGGTGATGGACTTTGGCTCCCTGACCTCTTTTGAGACCGGCTCGGTTGAACTGCTTGAGTTTAGCTGGCCGCCTGCGGCCGAGGACCAGACCTCTCAGGTATGCCTCGCTTATGTTATCATGAAGCGGCCTTCTGGATTTTTGCTGTGTGTTCCAGATGGCTTCCTGTCGCAGACGGAATTGGAGCAAGGCCAGCAGGCCGGGGAGGAGGAAGGGATTGGGCCGTCGACTGGTATCTCGGCTCCCCCTGTGCAACTGAGCCCCTCGGGCGAGTGGATTTCCCCTCCCGACCTGGACCCTGTAGCAGCCCTGATTGTGGACTTGGCTGCACCTTTGGCCGACCAGCTCAGCCCGGCCGACCTGTCGGCGGACGATCTTGTTTGTTTTCGCCCGGCCTCCCCTTCCGTTTTCCCCCTGGCCTCGGAGACAGGTCGGGATACCAGACGGCAGCTTCAGGGCCGGAAACTTTACCAGCCAAGTGGTCGCTGCAGTTGTGGACCGCCTGGACTCGATGTTGCTCAAGGGGGCAACTCCTCCTCACGAGCCCCCGCCTGCGCCTCAGCCGGCCGTGCCTCACCCAGTCCTGGGTCAGCCCTTGGCTCAGGCCGTGTTGCCTCCTTTCCAGTCGGTCCCGAAGAACTTAGCCACCACTCTTGGGCCGCCCCCTCTCACCCGGCAACTGCCTCCCGCTGCTCCTGTTCAGGTGGACTTGGAAGAAAAGGGGCAGCAAAGCCTTCTGACCGGCGAGCTCCCAGGCACAGGCCAGGACGGTTCCCTCGCCTCGGCTGTTTTGGCCCAGTCTCACGCTCTTGTGGCCTTGGTGACCCAGCTGTCGGGCTCTGCCGACCCGTTGCTAGCGGTGCCTTCAGGTCAGGCTTCCGTGCGTGGTGCAGCCGGGCGCGCCAAACTCCAGCAGGATCTTGCCGCCCGTTCGGGCGCCTTCGCCCAGAAGGTGCGCGACAACATGACAAGGCGCATGGACCCCACAGGCCTGCTGCCGGAGGACCAGGTGAGTTTTCCGGCACCTCGAGCGCCACGGCGGGTTCTCGGGCCATCCGTTGCTGGGGCTAGTGGCGTGGCAAGTGGCACAGGCCCTGGACCTGATTGCCATAGGGGCCACCGACGGGGCAAAGGACTGCCTCAGCTTGCTCCTCTTGATGCTGGACCAGACCGCCCACGACCGTGGCAACAGCTCCCTAGGATGGTTACTCACGTTGCAAGCCGACCCGCCGTCGAACCTGTTCACACCCCTGCAATCCTTCAGCCCGCTTGCCGAGCAGAGGTGGATAACCACCGCCCTTGCGTATGCCAAGGCACCGAAGGGCAGCCGAAGCAAAGTTCCCCAAAGCCTCCTTCAAAACCGACGGTCCAGCCCCACGTGCCGGCCGCGGAAGAGGAACAGCAGCTGTCAAAGAAGCAGCTCCGAGCAGCGCAGTGGGCAGCCCGCAAAGCCGCCGGTGCCCAAAATCCCAAGAAGTGAGTGGAGGTGACCCACCAGGCGGCCAGAAAGGCTCTTGTCTTGTCGGGGACAGGCTTTCGTCTTCCACGGCTGCCTCTGCCAGGGCCTGTGCCTCCCTCACAAAAACCAGTGCCTCCTCGAGCCCTCAAGGTTCGTGTGCGCCCCCCACGGGCCCTAATCCTGTTTCTTTGCCCCCGGACGGCTCTTTTGCCCCGGCCTTTGAATTGGGCGTTTCTACAAATCCTGCTATCTCGGCCTATCCCTCTTCGGATGGCGGCGTCCTCGACAATGATCGGGCCGATGCGTTCCCGTTGCAAGGGCTGTTCTATGCTGAGGCCGCTGAGTTCAGTTTCCACAGGTGGTCGGTTGTTTTGCCCCGCCTGCTAAAGGCAGCAAACACTCAGCTTGGCAGGTTTCTTGTTTCTACTTTTGCTCTGCGCAAGGAGGCCCTCCCCTCCTCAGCCGCTCTCTTCCCGTTGCCTCTCCTGCGCGAGGGGGTCTTCCACCAACAGGCCTGCAGAAGTGCAAAGGCGACGTTTCGTGATGACGTTGCCCGCTGTACGCATCTGGTTGCTATTTGTTTAAATTTCATGCATGCCGGGTGCAAGCCGGTTCCATTGCGCAGCCTGCAGAGGCCTGTGTCCCCACTTCAGACCAAGGTCTATGATCGGATCCAGGGGCTTGTCAGAGCGTGTGCCCGCCAGGTTGGGGTCGTCCCCGTCTGTGCTGGGCGAAAGGGCTTGCAGCTTGCTGCCAGGCTCTCCGAAGTGGTTGTTTTCCTGCGTGCCCAACATTTAGAGGCGAGTGGCTACCCTTCTGCAGCGGAGCCACCGACAGGCTTCGTTCCCCACGCACCCGATGGCCCAGAGGCCCTGAGGCCATACCGTGACATCTTGGCCAACCAGGTTGTGCTTCACGGCCGGGCCTCCTCCGACCTTTCAAAACATTTGGGGCCAGACCTTTCAAAACATTTGGGGCCAGACCTCTACCTCCCTTATGTTGAGCCCGACTGCTTTCGGTTTTCGGGCCGGGTGGGCCCTGTGCCACCTTCCAAGGGGAGAGCAAGCAGGAGCTGCACAAGCTAGCGCGCCTAGGGGACGCCTCGGGCCTTCTTGGCCTAACTGCGGGGCCGCTGCCGCCTCGGCTGCTGACCAGGGTCTTCGGCGCTTACAAGGCGCCCGGCAAGCAGAGGCAGATCGGAGACCGCCGAGGGCAAAATAGCTGGGAGTGCCGGTTGGCCGGCCCGTCAAAATGGCTCCCCACACCGGGCCCCTTCTCTGCAGGATTCATGTGCCAGCGGGGTCCTGCCTGGTAGGGTCGGTGACGGATAGAAGGGACTTCTAGACCCAGGCTTCAATAAGCAGGCAGCGTGCAAGCACCAACGTGGTCGGGCCGGCCGTCCCCTTGTCTTGGTTTTCGGGAACATCGGCTGAGGCAGCATACCGCGAGCGGCCGGGGAGCTACTGCATTGACCCTGCCCTCTACACTGACCAGCTTGCTTTGGAGCGCCCCCCGCTCCTGACACCGGACAAGCAGCTCGTCACCCATCCTTTCATGCCCTATTCCAGGGCGATGCTGGAGGAGTCGAGTTCGCGACCGCGGGTCACGAAGGTTTGTTGCAAAACTCCGGCTGCCTCCTCGGGCCGGGAAGGCTTCAGTCCTCTCACCCAGTTGCAGCTGCAGGCCCCTGGCAAGGGCTCATAATAGATGATTTCTTTGCCTTAGCAGTGCTGCCGGGCAGTTTCAGTAATGGCACCCCCTCGCCCTCTTCCGGTCTCGTTGACCTTGCCAAAGCCGGCTATGCACGTGAGTCGGTCCTTGGGTCTGACGACAAAGATGTGAGGGACCAGCGCCTTTTCAAGGTCGCCGGCGCAGAAATCGACTCCTCTGAGAGCACGGTTCTTGAAGGCGTGACTTTGTGCGGGTACCCGGTTGCAAAACGACTGGCTTTAGCAGCTGCCTCCGTTCGGGCTGCTCAGTGCCCTGCCCTTTCTGAGGAGCTTGTCTCCACCCTTTGTGGAAGCTGGGTTTCGTGTTTGCTGTATCGCCGGTGCCTTATGAGTGCCCTTGACAGGCTTTTCTCTTTGGGCCGAAGCGAAGCTGCGCAGGCAAGCCCTGGCTCTGACCTTAAGCCCCTCCCCCGCTCTACTGCTTCGGAGCTTCAGCTCCTAGCCGTGCTGGCGCCGATCGCGGTCTCGAACCTTTCGGCCGCTCCTGCTGAGCAAGTGTATGCCTCCGACGCTTCTATGGAGAAGGGGGCTTACTGCTGCACCGAAGTTCCTGCCGAGGTTGCCTTGCAGCTCTGGCTGGCCTCTGACTTCAAAGGGGCGGCTGTCTCTCTTGAGGGTTCAAACTGGCGCCGCCCCCGGCCTGGAGACGACGAGGAGCTTTCCTTGGCCCCCGCTCCCCTTGTGGAGAAGCCACTTGCTTTTGACTTCGATGTTCTTGAGGTCGGTGAGCCTTCCCTCTTCCTCGACGAGGCAAAGGCGAGAAGGCTAAAGGTAGGACCAAGCCTGCGCTGCACGAGGTCGTGCCACTACGACCTAGCCTCTCCTCGGTTCTGTGAGTGGCTGGTTCACTTGGTGTGCACAAAGCAAGTGCGAGCCCTCGTCCTGCGCCCTCCTGTCGATACGTTCGCCAGGGCGAGCCGTCCCCCTGCTCGTTCCGTGCTGAGCCCTCTTGGCTTCAGGCAAAGTTTGTGGCCCGTCCTTAGAGCGAACAAGGCGGTCTCGACCTGCTTTGCTGTGCTGCTGGCCGCCGCTCGGCACAACATACCGGCCTGCCTCTTCCACCCAGCCTCCTCCCTCCTGTGTCTTCACCCTGCTTGGGTCTCGCTTCGAAGGAGGGCCGTTTGCTGGGAGGAGCTTCTTGAAGCAAAGCTGTTCGGGCTTCCTGACTCGCCTGCTCTGCGCGTGTTGTGCTGCGGTCTCCCGTCCCTGCAGCCTCGCCTCCCTCCTCCTGCGTCTGGCCGCCGGCATGGTGATCGCACGCCTCTCTTCCGCTGCCGGGCTTTTGTGCGCCACCTTGCTGGGTGCCTTGCTTCCGTTCTCCATGGCGACTCTCCGGCCGAGCCCCCCCGCACACAGGGTTTCGAAAGCCTGCTCGTCAATGACCTCCTCCTCGCTTCCCGCTGGAAAGTTGTCTCGGAGTGGAGGTGGAGGCGGAGAGTCCACATAAACGTGCTGGAGACCCTTGCCGCCGTCAAGGTTGCTCGGAAAGCTACCGAGGGGAGCGATTGCGAAGGGCAGGTCCTCTTCGCGTTTGCTGCAGCCTGCACTTCTGAAGATGTCGGCCACGTTGGTTGCAGGAGGGGTCTACCTAGGCATGAGCAGGCTGAATGTCGCTGACGACCCCACGAGGAACACCCCCATATGCGGCAGCACTCTGGCCAGCTTTTGTGTGAGGCTCTGACAGGGACTGCTTGCGTCTGGCCTTGTAGGCCACTCTGCTGCCACCGCGGGGTGGCTTAGGCTCTCCCTCCTGCTTTAGCCTTGGGGTCTCTAGGTCTAGTCTTCAGGGTCTCTTACGTTCCCTAGGCTCCCCCCTTCGTGCTGAGCTGCCGGCCGGCGCCGCACCCCGTGACCTGCGAGAGCTTCGACCAGACCCTGGGCTTCCCTGGAGGGCCCGTCCTGCCGCGACACGAGAAAGACCACAAGAGACAGCAGCAGAGGGTAGCCACACCGCTCCCCGAAGGCCGCCCGGTTCTGCCAAGGACAGCCCAAGACCGCAATACCCTGCTCAGGTCTTTCTAGGAGTGGTTGGCACAAGCAGGGCACGACAACAAGGGCTACCTGGAGTGGCCTGCTGAGGAAGTCGCCCGGGCTCTCGCCCGTTATGGCCGCGAGCTTTTCGAGGCAGGGCTTCCCTACTGGCACTTGTCGGAGACCATCAACTCGGTCTCGGCAAAGAGACCGGCCGTTAGGCGACAGCTTCAGGGGGCGTGGGACGTAGCTTTCGCTTGGATGGCGCTGGAGCCGCGCACGCACCATGTGGCTATGCCAGCAGCAGTGGTTTTATTGGCGGTCCTTGCTGTCAGCTTGCTCTGGGGCTGGAGGCAGGAGGCTGGTCTTTTCGGGCTGGCCTGGAGAGCCCTGTTAAGGATCGGCGAGGCTACAGGTGCCCTCCGCGAGGCACTGGTCTTGCCGAGAGACGTCCTCTACACCCAGGCCTTTGCCTTGCTGAAGATCGAGGAGCCTAAGACTCGTTTTAGGGTGGCCAGGCACCAAGCTGCAAAATTGGAGGCATCCGATCTGGTTGCCTTGGTGGACATGGCTTTTGGCAAGCTTTGCAAGGGGTCTAAGCTCTGGCCTTTTTCGGCCCAGACACTTCGCAGGCGATTGGATGCCATTTTGGAGGCGCTTTGGATTCCTACCAGCAGGACTTCAAGGCGCCCCCTGGACCTTGGATCATTCAGGCCGGGAGGTGCTACCTACCTCCTCCAAGCGACAGAGGACTCAGAGCTGGTGAGGAGGAGGGGACGCTGGGTGTCCCATATGGTCATGGAGGTTTACCTCCAAGAAGTTGCTGCATCAACTTACTACCCAGGCCTCCCCGAAGCAACCAAGAGAAAGGTTATGGATGCAGCCGCCGCCTTCCCTTTGCTTCTGGACCAGGCCACTCGGTGGACACAGGGCAACATTCCCACTGGGTCGTGGTATTATCTCTGGAGCTTGTAAGCGTTACCGCTCGCACTGGTGACCGGTGGACACGGGAGAATATGGGGCATTCTTTTACGCACCGGGCTTCGGCTAAGCTTTTCAGCCGTTGCTTGTTTCTCGCGGGACGAAATTTTCCCCGCCTCATGTGCAGACGGTGCAAGCGGACCATCCATGGTGAGCAGAGAAAGTGCCGTTGAGCTTCTGTACTTATAGAAGCGAAACCAAACGCCGTCGCTCCTCTCAAGCTCTCCCTCCCGCCCACCCGTGCTTGAAGCTCGCGGGGCATTCTTTTACGCGCCGGGCTTCGGCTAAGCTTTTCAGCC